CAGGGCTATATAATGAGGTCCTGTCTCCAAAAAATGTATATACCTCCATTACCACAGCCTTGAAAAACTGATTCTCAACAAAAAGTTACTGTATTTTAGAATAAAAATACTTAACAAACTAAAATGTATATACCTGTTAGAAAAAAAATTTTGAGCTTACTGCAACTAGATGAAAAAGCATTGTTGATACATTTTCTTTAAAAGAAACACATGAATAAAATTTCTACGAATTCATAAACTACAGCTTTTTCCTAATTTAAAAAAGTACTTATTTATTTATTTATAATTTATTTCTGTATACCTTTGTGAGTGTACTGTACCATGTGAAAGCAGTGAATGGAAGCCAGAAGAGGATGTGGGATCCCCTGAGACTGGGCTTATAGATGGTTGCAAACTGACATATGTGAGCTAGGAATTAAACCAGGGTCCTCTGGAAGAGCAGCCAGTACTCTTACCCACTGAGCTATCATCTCTCATGCCCAAAATTTTGTTTTCTCTTATGTGAATGTTTTGCCTGCATATATGTGCAACACAGGCACATATATGCCTAGGGCCCATGGAGGTCAGAAAAGAGCATCCGATTCCCTGGAACTGGGGTCACGAACGGTTGTGAGCCATCATGTGGGTGCTGGGAACTAAATTAGGGTTCTCTGCAAGAGCAACAAATGCTTTTATTCACTGAGCCATCTCTCCAGCCCTCTTCTCCTAATTTTTAATCCCCAGCTGACAGTTCCTGTCAACCATCTTTATCCTTTACCTTCAGTTTCTCTAGGTAAAGGAATTTCTATCTACATACAAACACTGGAAACCACTGAGAAAAAATCAGGTATCTTGGCATAAAACAGTAAATGGAGCGATCAAGAGTTCAAGGCCAGCCTGGGCTACATAATGAGTTTGAGGCTAGCTACTGTTAGAGAGTGAAGACTGTCAAAAACAGACAAATAAATAAAGTCACCATAGAAACCACCTATTTAAAGGAGCTCTCAAAGGGTTTAAAGAATGCTTTTTGTAAGCTGAGCAGTGGTGGTGCACACCTTTAATCCCAGCACTCGGGAGGCAGAGGCAGGCGGATCTCTGTGAGTTCGAGGCCAAGCCTGGTCTACAAGAGCTAGTTCCAGGACAGGCTACAAAGCTACAGAGAAACCCTGTCTCAAAAAAAAAGAATCCTTTTGTGATATTGATAATTATTCCTACTTTGTTTTATATAAAAATGAGTATTTTTTAAAAAAAGAAGCATAGACAGACACACACACACGCACATACAGGGAAGTGGGAAAGAAAAATCTAAAAATAAAATTAAGACAATTTATTGTATAAGCAATGCAAAAAAGGAAAAGATGAATGATGAGTGGTGGGTGGTCAGAAGGGGGGGGAGCAAAGAATCACAAACTAAATTATCCATGAGTCTATATTTTAAAAGAACCTTGAAGCTGGTCATGATGACTTAACTCCTGCAACTCCAGCATTCAGAGGATGAGGCAGGATCACCCAAGAGTTTGAGCCTAGCCTAAGTAAATAGTGAGTTCTTGGTCATCCTGAGATACAAAGTGAAACCCTGTCTAATAAAATAAAAAATAAATTTAAAAAAGTCAGGTGTGGTGGTACAAGCCTGTAACACCAACATTTGAGAATGGAATCAGAAGTTCAGGAGCTACTCAGCTATATAGCTAGTTCAAGGCCAGCCTCAACTACTTGACCCATCTCAAAAAAAAAAACTTAATTACTAGGAATGTATAATCAGAGTAACAACCACTTAACCTTTAGGCTATAATTAAAGTAGTACTCAGTTTTAGATTCCCTGCTTAGGTACAAGTGAAGACTGGAGAAATTTCAGAACTATAAAGATAAAAGGGTTAAAAAACCAAGTGAAGGAAAATTAGAATGGTTATTGTGCCTAAGAGAATACCAGGAGTGACTCAACAGCCAACAAGGACATGAAGAAATATCCATTTCAGTGAGCTGCTGGTCTGAATTTCCACAGCAGGTGATTCTGTTTAAATGATTACACCAAGTATTTCAACACAGAAGTATCTCACCTAGGATACGTAGCATACAAAATCCCGTGAAGCCTGTTGTTGTTCACCTCTCCCACCTTTACTAGCTCAACTTCTCATCTCCAATAGGTCAAAGGGAGGGTAAGGCATCTTTGGAATGTTAAAATGTAGGCTTCTTTCAGGTCTAGCTATGTGTAAGATTTGTTCTCTCCTAGAACCCAATATAAGGTTGAATCTTTCTGAGCTATGAAAAAAAGGGACTCATTAGTAGTAAACACTCGTTGGATGGGTAAGACGACTTGGATTTAAGGTTCATAGTGGAAGGACCTAGTGACTGGGTTTAAAATGGCCAATTTTCCTCCAAAAGTAGAAAATTGAACTTGTTGAAAATTGAAATTAATAATAAAAGGAAATCACCCATACAGTGGTATCAACCAGAAGGCAGAGACAGGAGGATCACAAGTTCCAGACTAGCATGGGCTACAAAGTGAAACCTTGCCTCAGGTAAGAGAGTAAGTGAAGAAAGGGGATAATTAGATATGGTCAACTTCTTTCATATTTATCTCTCATTTTTGTCTTATATAGAGAACTTTTGAATCCTGAAGTCTGTGAAGAAACAGAATGTTTCTTACTTGTACTTTGACCACCCTACCCTACACCTACCTAGCTGACTACTATCTACCTAAAATATTGTTAGTACTTTATTTTATAGCTGCTTTTTCTAGTTATTCTCCAGTTCATTCTGTAACACTGCTGCCTATGAAGGTTGTATGGCTTGATCACCCCTTTCCTTTATCTCACAGAAATACCTATTCTTCCTATTCCCTCAGATATATTTTAGTCAGCTTATTCTCTAATGATCAAAATTTTCTTAACTTCTTTAATTCAGCTGGCTCTTCTATTTAAAACCAAATTATCACTCTTGTGTCTCTGTGATGTCCTCATCTTTTGAACACATCATTTTCTATACCATTGTTTCATTTTCAAGTAAATTAAAAGTAGCTTTTCTAGGAGGACTAGGTCCCATATCGACCAGGTTGGTCTCAAATTGACCGTGTAATGAAGGCTGACTGTGAACTGATCCTCCTGCCTCCACCTCTCACATGCTGGGATTACAAACATGTACTAGCATATCCAGCTCTAAAACTATCTTTACCAAATGCCAAGATTCCTACCTCCCTCATTCCAACCTTCCTGGAACCCATTCTGAACAGACCATATTAGTCAGATGAAAACATAGACCCATCAGAAGTTCTCAGGATTTCACCCACCTTCCTGTCTGCATCAAATCTGTTTGAAAAACAACACAAAGAAGCAACATTAAATGAGGTAAAAAGACAATGAAAGACGTTGTTTGTTGGTGATGTGTGGGTGCACCAGAGGATGGGTCTATATGTATGTTTAGTTATAACACATTACTGTGCATATATAAACACATGTAATGTAAATACATTCAACTCAAATTAGCAAAACTCCACAAATGTAAAAATCAAATATGCTCAATCTGACCTAAACCACAGGTATTATATGGCTACTTCCTGGAAGGAGATATATTATCTATGTAACAAAGACAGTTGTAAGTAACAAGAAACCATAGGCTACTACAAGCAGAGTCTACTTTTCTGTAATGTAATATAAATGCAAAGTTTACTCATCACCTCAGGACAATGGCCATGTTGCATGACTTCTACACAATACCCAGCACGCGCTCAACACTAGGAAACAGTAAATTTACAACTTAAGGAGGAAAACGGAGGCTTGCTTCACAGTGGTTTAATATGAACAGAGTTGAATATGACATTGTCTGACAGAAGAATGAACAGCTTGCTGAATAAAAGCCCCGAGTCAGGATATATACACAGCAGAAATGGGGCCTCAGAGTCTCAGCACTTGTGCACAATGAAAGAAGAAATGTTTAAAAAAATATCTGTAACAGAGGACACAAATCAAAAGGCAGCAAGGACACGGACACTGGTGAGGTGGGAAAGGGGCTGCTCAGCCCCCAGCATGGGCACAGCAGCTAGAGAGCTATCTCAAAGATCTTCAACAATGAGATGGGCTCCAAGACCATGTCAAAATCTAATCCTCATCTCTCGGACCAGGATCACATCAGAATCAGCAATCCTTTCCCCCCAAGGACTTACATGGAAAACACAAATCCTCCCACAATAAGGAGTCTAACCCGAGGCCCCACTTTCACCTAGTACCAGAGTTAACTTGCTCTCATCCCACCATTTGGACAGACAGCAGGTCCCAGTAAACAAACCATCACCTTCCAAACAATAGACTAGTAGAGCTGCCAGCCTCAAGAAGCTGCTTTAGCCTCTAAGATTGGGGAACTCTCTAGCTAGCTGCTAGCTCTATTTCCATTTCTGGGAACAACACTGGAGTTCCATGGGAAACAAGTGCAGGCAGTTCAATAACCCTGTGACCAAGCCGGGGAAGGCAGCAGACAACTCTTGCCTCTGAGCCCCATTTGATAGCTCAAAGTGCTTAGGAGAAACCAGAAGCTGTGGTATGTGTGCTTCTGCCCTTGGAACAGCACTAAATGACATGGGAAATAGAGGAATGGAAGGAGGAAAGTGATGTTGCTCTTCCTTACTACATAGAGAAACCTAGAACATGACCCCCTCCACCATTCAGGAAGTCACCTGGCAGTGGTAAGTTGCTCTTATTCCTCCAAACCCACAAAACTAACCCATAAATTCACAAGGGTTGAGGAGGGAGAACTGCTGGCCCATACTGACTCATTAGCTAGTGAGCAAAATATAGACAGTCAGAGTAGGGAGCCATAAAGGGCTAGGGGCTAGGCAATAGGAGCAGCCTACTACCCTATGGCTTTCTTGACTTTGCAGTAACCATGATGATGAGCCCATAATACCCATACACCCTGCTCCACATATCAGACTGGTTAAACTCTAGGAGGATTACTGCCAGGAAAAACAACAAGGGAGAAAAAACAAACAAAAAAATTGCTGAGAAAACTGGGAACAGGCCTAGAAAAACACGAAGTTTTGGGTCTCTACTACCTTCCCCCGCCCAAAGGAAAATTGTCATGCAGGTAGGAAAAGCAGAGGTTCTCCCTGTTCAGTGTTCCTTGTGAAACCTAAGAATAAGAAAAAGCCCCTAGACTTGCAGCATCAGTAATATATCCCAGTGCCTCACCAGCACAAACCCCCCACCCTCCAAGGTTAGCCTTCTGACATGGGTAAAATGCCCAAAAATTGCCTTCCACTCCAATCCCTCCCCCACCCCAACCCCAAGCAAAGAGCATCTGCCTGTGGTTTCCCACCTCTCTTCAGAGAAGAGATACTAGCACAGTGCCCACATGGTTTAGTCTGGTACCAAGGGACACAATGCAAGACAGTCTATCAGGCCAGGGGATGGGCAGCCAACTTCAGATCAAAAAGAGAGAGAGGCTTAGTGTAAAAACCAATGTCATTTCAGCAGGTAAAGTTGAGGGCAAGTGGTGAGAGGGACTCCTACTGGCGCACCTTCCCAGGGACGTAGTTCCTATCAGTTGCCTCCTCCTGCAGGAACATGTGTAGACAGCGTTCATTCTGAGCCAGTGGGTGCCCAGCAATTCTATAAAGAGACCAAAAAGGTTATCAGTAGTTTCTGGGATCAGAAAGAATTGGCAGGAATAGGAATGTGAAGAGAGGACAAAGGGCATGGTCAGCCCTTAGGTTTGAGACTCTAGAGGACAGCAGTGAAGTATGACATAAACCTTAATATTGTAGAAGGGAAATGGAACAGAAGGACAGTGTAGGGAAATTCTAGTTATAAGGGTTAACATGCATTACACTCTCAGGCCTTGGATCAGAATTTTACTATCCAGTTTGCTCGCTACATCATATTACCTATTACAAAAAGACAAAGAAAAAAATGTAGAAAGATCATGATGGGCTGGGAGTATAATAGCTTAGAGGTGCTTGCCTAGCATACACAAGGCTCTGGAATCAATCCCCAGCAAAAAGGGAAAGAGGACAGTATGGAACAAAGAAGGGGGAGGGGAGAAAAGTGGGCAGGGGAGATAGGGGAGAGAGATTTCATGATGACACAGTAAACAGAGCAGCTAGGAAATTGACTTACTTGTTAATAAACTGTTCGAGGCCCTGCCTCCTTTCTTCAATGAAAGATTCCTCAAAGATCCCTTCATCTCCTCGGAAAGGGAGCTGCCGCTTCAAGGCTTTCCCAGGCAGTGGTGGTACTACAATCTGCAGTCAAATAGCAGCCCAGTTGAAGAGGGCAAGAAAGCAAATAAGATGGTAAAGGGCTCACTTGTGCTCTCTTGTGCTCTCTCTTGTGCGCGCTTTCTTTCTCTCTCTCCTCTCTCTCTCTCTCTCTCCCTCTCTCCCTTCTTCCCTCCCTTCCTCCTTCTCTCTCCCTTTCCCGAGACCCACATCTCAAACTGTCTGCGTAGCCAAGGATGACCTTGAACTTCTGATCCTCCTGGCTTTGCCTGCCAGGGAAACTGTGTATCTCAATTCTTTTTGGCCTGGGATCCACCATGCCTAGGTCCAGCTAAGGCCTTAGAACAGTAAGGCTAGCTCATGTGGATCAACTTGATTTCTGTAAGACAGATTTACCATCTCAAAAGAAAGGAAACTCCAAGCACTCTTCACTTTCCTCAACAATCCAGCACCATCCAAGCATTTAGCTAAGCTTTTCTTGACATGTTTTTACACTTATAGAAGTTTATTAACTTTACAAACTACAAAACAAAACAATAAAAACTATTGTTTATGGGGCTGAAGAGATGGCTCATCGGGTAAGAACACTGGCTACACAAGCATGAGGACATGAATATAGACTCCAGGACCCAAACCAAAAAGTCCATTTGTGGGGGGACGGTAGAGACAGAAGGATCACTGGAGATTGCCGGCCTAGTTCCAAATTCAGTGAGAAATGCTGTCTAAAATGTGTGAAGCAGGACACACAATTTAGTCCTCTAGCCTGTATGTACTGTGTGTGCCCTTACACCATATACAACACACACACATTTAAAAATAATACAGTCATCCAAGCAGTGATGGTGCAGGCCTTTAATCCCAGCATTTGGGAGATGGTGGATCTCTGAGTTCAAGGCTAACCGGGTTTACAGAGCTAGATCCAGGACAGCCAGGGCGACAAAAAGGAACAATACTGAAAACAACAAGAAAAAAACAACAATAACAAAACTCTGCCCTAAACCTCTAAGTTTCAAAGGAACCAATATATTGGGATTGCGTCTATAAGAATGTGTTCACCCTTCCTACCTACTTGAAGACTTTATGAGCTGTGACCTTATACCCTCCAAGCCTATACAGATTGCCTACTCCAATGGTTCTAATTAGGGGATGAGCTATACCTTACTATCTCGCTCCAGTTCATTTTTCAGCCACTCAAAGTCACTGTAGCGTCGCCGTACACATGATTCTTTCAGCTTGAAGATGGGTAGGTTTGTCTACAGGGAAGAAAGAACGAGTGAAGAGAAGCTAGGTGTTGTGGCATGCACTTTTAACACTCAAGAGGCTGAGGCAGGAGGATCAGCAGTTTGATGTCAACCTAGGCCACATAGGGAATGCCAGATCAGCCTAGGCAACATGGTGAGACACTATTGCAAAAATACAAACCAACCAAACTGAAAATGGGCAATAAGTTCTATTCAACCAACCTGTGGGGCCCACCTGTCAGAACCACTGGAAGTCTCAATGAAGAAACAGTTCCTCTGTTTCTCAGTGGTAGGTCACTTACCTAATCCATATGAGCACCAGGGTTTGACTCTCAGCATCACAAAAAAGAAAAATTGATCCTATGGACCATATACCTGAAATTTTTCCAAAGCACCACGAGGTATATATTAACCCTTACCATAACCAATCTTACCATAGTTGGGGATCAGAAGTCCCTTGCTGGGGCTGAAGAGTATACATAGCTCAGTGGTAAGAGCACTTGACTAGCATGCCCAAGGCTCTTGGTTCCACCCCATAAACACACAGATAAAATTCTTTGCTACTTAAATTTGTCTTACAGAGAAGACTTACAGTCATGTTCGAATGTACATTACATCAGTAAATCATGTGTTGTCTTAGAGTGTCCTCTAAGGCTCCCCTGTCTGGAGATGTGCTTCCCTTTCTATCTCTGTGATATGGAGGGAAGTCTTTGGGAACAACTAGAAGGTAAAGCATTTCCAACAGATGTTTACTATCCTGTGATATAAAAATACCTGCAGTGGGAATGAGAAGTGGAAGCTCAGCCATGAAGAAAAAGCTCAATCAGGAACTCCAGCTGACTGCCTAACTTCCCCAGATAGTTTCTGCTGGACCTTAAAGGTGCCTGACTTGACGATGCTATTTGTTGGTTTTTGTTGCTATTTGTCCTTTTACTTGGAAACCTCACCTGAGGTGACACTCTTACTGTCTGGGACTGTTTGAGGAACTCCAGCTGGCTTCCTTAAAGGTGCTTCCCCAGTCAATTTCTGCTGGTTGAGTACCTGACTTGATAATGTTTTGCTACCTGTCTATCTCTTGCTATTTATTCTTTTCTCTGTGAGTTCGAGGCCAGCCTGGTCTACAAGAGCTAGTTCCAGGACAGGCTCCAAACCTACAAAGAAACCCTGTCTCGAAAAACCAAAAAAGGAAAAAAAAGGAGCATCTGGTAGAGCTTCAGATGGTCCTTATTACATTATTTTTACTCTGACTTGTCACACAATTAAACTCACTCATTCAAAATCAAAAGTACGGCTATTTCAGATCATTCTCTAGACTTCCAAGGCATGCTTCCCTCTGCCTTCTTATCCCAATCGTTCCTATAAGTCCTACCTCAATTCTCACTTCATTCAGAAAAATTTTCCTGATAATACCAGCTGGGTATATTGTGGTCTACCTCCTCCCTGTTACACTTTACTTGAGACCCTGTCTATAGCATAGGCTGACTTCAAACTTCCTACACCTCCAAGGATAACCTTGAACTTTTGTCTTCCTGCCTCCTCATGAAATTACAGGTGTGTACTACCATACACAGTTCATGCAGTGCTGGGCATCAAACCCAGGGCTATCTATATACATGCTAGGCAAATACATACCAGCTGAAACACACCCACATCCCCATTTCTAAGGGTGTTATGCAGGTGACCTTGAACTTCTGATCCTTCCATCTCCAGTTTATAAAATGTCGCATTACTAGGTTTTCTTCACATTGTTTTATGCATCCTGTATGTTGTCTACATGACTAAGTGATGATCTCAAGATCAACCACATGAACCGGGAGGTGGTGGTACATGCCTTTAATCCCAGCACTCCAGAGGTAGAGACAGGTGGAACTCTGCCTTAGAGGCCAGCCTGGTCTACAGAGCAAATTACAGGACAGGCTCCAAAGCTACAGAGAAATCCTATCTCAAAAAACAAGAAAAACAAAACAAAAAGCAAAAAAGAAGAGATCAACCACATGACTGTGCACGGTGGTGTATCCCTTTAATCCCAGCACTCGGGAGGCAGAGGCAGGCAGATCTCTGTGAGTTTGAGAACAAGCCACTACAGAGAGTTCTAGACTTGCCAGTATGACACAGTGAGACACTGTCTCAAAAAAAAAAAATCAGCACATGACTTTTGCTTCTCCCAAAATGTAAGTTAGCAATACTCAATAGAAACTAGAAACTTAACTAGAAAGTTACCCCTTTTACCTAAAAAATACAGAATGAACAGCCTCCATATAAGTTAGCTTTCTGTAGCTTCCTCATTCCTACATTTTAGTCACTGAGAAGACCCCTCAGGCTCTAGTGGTGAGGAACTTATAACACATAAAAAGACCAACTCTTCACTCCTGTCTATAAGTTCTAAATGAAAATGGTCAAATACATATATTAATCTAGACCATATTTCTTGCCAGGCAATTCAGAGCAATGGGTGGAACCATCTCTTTTTTCTCAACACAACCGCTTCTTGATAAGAAAGGAGCATCTGAGCCAGGTGGTGGTGAAGCATGCCTTTAATCCCAGCACTCAGGATGCAAAAGCAGGCCGATCTCTGTGAGTTCGAGGCCAGCCTGGTCTACAAGAGCTAGTTCCAGGACAGGCTCCAAACCTACAAAGAAACCCTGTCTCGAAAAACCAAAAAAGGAAAAAAAAGGAGCATCTGGTAGAGCTTCAGATGGTCCTTACTACATTATTTTTACAGTCCACAAATCCTGAAGTCACCTCCCCAGGCAATAACTGGCCAGCTGACATTAGCTCCAACTCTACCCAAAATCTTCAAGGTTCAAGAAATATCAATAGGTTTACATGGAGTCTGCTATATATAACATTTTGTCATCTAAACAATTCTTTAAAAGAGTAAACAAAATGAGAGAGAGTCAGCTTTCTTTAGAGTGCGGTCCCCAGATATGTCCACAATGCTCCCTCCAGTGGATGGCCCTGTACCCAGAAGTATATGGTCAACACAATGGTTTGGTTTGATTTTTAAAGGCAACACAAAGTTGGAGAGAGAGGGAGGTAAAGATAGATCAGGAAGGAATTAGGAGGAGAGTAGGAGTGAACAATGTCAAAATGTATTGGATGAAATTCTCAAAGAACCAAACTATTTTTAAAAAGGAAGAAACAGCCGGGCGGTGGTGGCACACGCATTTAATCCCAGCACTCGGGAGGCAGAGGCAGGCGGATCTCTGTGAGTTCAAGACCAGCCTGGTCCACAAGAGCTAGTTCCAGGACAGGCTCCAAAACCACAGAGAAACCCTGACTCGAAAAACCAAAAAAAAAAAAAGGAAGAAACAAGGGAAAGGGTGGGGCAGGAGGAGGGGAGGGAGTGGGAATGGGGAAAGCTATGTAAAATGAGAAAAGATTGTACTAAAAAAAATTCTTAATAAAAAAAATCAAAAATGTTTTTATTTAAATATTTTTTTTTAAAAAAGGAAGAAACAAGTAACCTAACAGGATGGCTAAGTGGAAATAGGAGGGTCAGTAGTTCAAAGTCATCCTCAGCTACACATTGAGTTTTAGGCCAGCCTAGGCTACATGAAACTCAGAAAAGAAAAACAAAACAAAAGAATAAATACAAAACTGGAGGCTGATGAGATAACTGGGCAAGTAAAGGTGCTTGCATCAGAATCTGACACCCCAAGTTCCAGCTCTAGGACCTATATGGTAGGAGAGAACCAAGTCCTGCAAGTTGTCCTCTGACATGTGCTGCAACCCTTCCTCTGAACACAAAATAAATACATAGAGATGTAATTTGAAAAATTTAAAGGGGCCAGGCAGTGGTGAGGCGCACCTTTAATCCTAGCACTCAGGAGGTACAGGCAGGCAGATCTCTGTGAGTTCAAGGCCAGCCTGGTCTACAGAGTTTCAGGACAGACTCCAAAGCTACACAGAGAAATCCTGTCTCAGAAATTCAAAAAACTTAAGGGGCTGGAAAGATGGTTCGGTGTTTAAGATCACTTGTTCTTCCAGAGGATGCGGGTTCAAGTCCAGCACCATGTGGTGGCTCACAGCTGTCTGTAACTCCAGTTCCAGGATGCACGTGATGCATAGATAGATGTTTAAGTAAAACACTCATACACATAAAATAAATAATTTTTTAAAGTTTTTAATTTTTAAAACTGTCATTTTATGGGCTTTGTTTAACTAAAAACAAAAAACCCTATTCTTTCCTTACCCCCAAAGGATGATGAAAATACTGTCCTTCCATCTCAGCACCTAGCCTTCTAAGAAAACAGCTTCTACATAGTTTAGTGTCTGGTCTGCAAACTACGAATCATATGAGGAAGCAGGAATTGTATAATACAGGATATTGAGGGTTTGGGGGTTCTGTTCAACACAAAATACAGTGAAAGGAGAAGAAAAAAACACAAAAATCAAGCCCACAATGACACATCCATATGAACCAGGTGCAGTGGCGCATGCCTTTAACCCCAGCACTTGGGAGGAAAAGGCAGGCAAATCTCTTGAGTTTGAGGCCAGCCTGGTCTACAAAGTGCATTCCAGGACAGTCAGGGCAACACAGAGAAACCCTGTCTCAGGGGAAAAAAAGAAACATCCATATGAATATGTATAAGGATGTGAGGACCACCATAGCACCTCTCCAGACTCCTCAGGCAAGCAGGATCCATTCCTGAATAAAATTAAAGAGAATAGCTTCATCAATATTTATTATACAGAGCTAAAGGTGTAGATCAATGGAAGAGTGTGTCCTCGGCATGCATGAGGCCTGAATTAAATCCCTGGCACCAGAAAAATAAATACAAATCGTTTTATAGATTTTTCCAAAAATCAGAGTTCATTACAAGAGTGGAAGCCTCAAATCAACTGGAACTCACAGAATGAAGAACCACCACATTATACAACTAGAATTGTGGAAGGGACTGGTGAAAAAGTTCTAGGTACACTTTGCATACTAAGTTTTGCAACTAAGCCTTAACAAAGTAGTGCAAAGAACATGGACTTTGGAGTTAGAGACTTAGTTTCAAATCCCAGCCCCTATCTGACACTTTTATATACACTTGGGAAAATTACTAAAACTACATGTTTCCTAATTTCTACTTTTCAAAATGTATACAGAAACTAAAGCCTACCCAGGTATAGCCAGGTAGTGGTGGCGCACACCTTTAATCCCAGCACTTGGGAAATAGAGGCAGGTAGATCTCTGTGAGTTTGAGGCCAGCCTGGTCTACAGAGCGAGTGCCAGAACAGGCTCCAAAGCTACACAGAGAAACCCTGTGTTGAAAAACAAACAAACAAAAAACTATCTAGGTGTCGCAACAGACAACTTTAATTACAGCACTCGGGAGGTAGAGGCAGGCAGATCTCTGAGTTGGAGGCCAGTCTGGTCTACAGAATGAGTTCCAGGACAGCTAGGGCTGTTACACAGAGAAACCCTGTTTCAGAATTAAAAAAAAAAAACTTAAAAAAGAAAAAAAGCCAGGCGGTGGTGGCGCACGCCTTTAATCCCAGCACTCGGGAGGCAGAGGCAGGCAGATCTCTGTGAGTTCGAGACCAGCTTGGTCTGTAAGAGCTAGTTCCAGGACAGGCTCCAAAGCCACAAAGAAACCCTGTCTCGAAAAAACAGAAAAAAAGGAAACTAAAGCCTAGCTTGTGCCTGACCCATTGTAGGGACTAGATGGATGGTCTCTATTGTTATCAGAATAGAGAACGATTTCCTCACTATTCCTTAAGGCTCTCATGCATTTAAACAAAGTCTCCAAAACCCTAAAAGTAGTCTTTACACTGCCTGAGCAAGTTAAACTTAAGTTCCCTGAGTAATTAAGCCTTCCTCCATTAACACTCCTCTTTTAGCGTAGTTTAAAGAACATAAATCCCACGCTTCTCCAAAGCGATCATTTCAAATAGTCTCGTCTCCGGAAGACAAGGGCTCTCATGCAGTTTTCACTGGCCCTGGGTTTGGAGAGAACCGCTTCTTCCTAAGAATGTCAAGCACAGGCAGAACATTCTCGTTCAATTCTTCTAAAAAATGAGAGCACCATATGCCTCTTGGATCTTCAATGGTATTCAAGAGGGATGCTCTTCACAAAGACTATCCTGGCTCTCTAAACAGAGAAGAAAACACAAAGAAAACTAAAAAAAAATGGCTCTCAATTTCTGTAGCCTGTTCCACTTCAACTGGGGAAAAAAATACTTATGAACCATGTACTTTATCTGCACATTCCATCCTTGCACTATGGACTAAGCACTGTGGACTAAGAGAATAAAGTCCCCTAGGGTGCAAAATGGAAGAAGCCATTCCTAGAGCCATTCTGAAATACCATGTATTAAAGTAAATACAGACCAGGGACAGAAAAGGCAAATAGCCTTTTACAAAAAAAAAAAAATCTCAAGTGAGAGCCAATAAAAACTGAAGTAAACATTCTGGATACTTCAAATCTAAAGGATCAGCAGAGGATGGGAGCAGCAACTGACAATCCACCAATCCCAGTGCAGGGCCGGGCTTCACATAAGACACAGCATTGTGGTACCTAAGAAAACTCAAACATAAAACATTTCTCTCTTTCAGATGTAATTCTTAGAAAAGTCAACAAAGCGTTCGGTCTCCTCGGGGTTCCTTTCTACTTCTGCTCTCTCTCACAAGCCCACTGCCTCCCTTTCTGGTGTGTTTCCTCGAACTAAAAGGTTTGCTTAACTCCATCCCAGAGAGATCTCATTAGGAAGAAGCCCAGCCTTCCCGCCCCCCCTTCAGAATGACTTCCATAACCTAGTTTAGTTATGGGACCCAGCGACACATCGCCTTGGCTTTCCATCCACCCCCCCTCGCCGCCTTCTTCCACCCTCCCCTTTCGTCCTTCTGTCAATCATGATTCCAATCTACTTGAATTCCTCACTAATCTTTGTCCATCCTCCACACCCTGTCCAGCCGTGCTCCACTTCTGCCTCGTGAGTACTTGTTTTCCTTCACCACCACCCCCGCCCCCGCCCGAAGTCCCCTCCGGAGTTTTGTGTACCCCCAGGCCACAACTGAGTCTGCAGCCCTCTCTCTAAACCTTTCATGCCCTAACCCTCACATGACCCCCTCCAAGCTTGCCCGCCGTTAGTCGTCCCCCATACCCCCTCCCCTGCCGCATCGTCCTCCCTCAGCTGTCTCCCTCACCCCGTGACTCACCCGCATGCGAACCTCATAGGTGGTGAAGCGCGCGCGGCCCACGCCCACCGTCTGTGGATTAAAGATGTCTATCTCCAGGAAGTTACTTGGCGGCCCGTAAGCATCGGTCAGGTCCTGCGGCTTCGAGTTAAGGCGCCGAGTGTCAGCCACGGCCGTGTCCGACATCTTTCCAAAGAAGAGACCGGTACCGGGGGTGGGGGACACAGGCCTGAGGCAAGAGCACGCACGGCCCCTCCCGCTTGCAAAATAATCAGCCAACCCACAGACTGCGGCGACGCGCACGCGCGCACGCACACACCGCCCGACTCTCGGGCCCGTCGCCCTGAGTGGCCGCCATGCTGACTAGGGCTTGTACTTTATGGTGAAAGCGTCATTCAGACTTCCGGGCGGGACTGGCAGCTGCCCCGGAACCAGCATCTCTAATACTCCCTCTCCAATACTTGGAGAAGCACCACACGCAGACTCCGCCAATCTGTGTTCCTCAATCCCAGAAACTGTCTCATCCCGTGCATCAATCAGCAGTGGGCACTGCCCCACAAGCTGTTATCCTAAAGTGATAGGCTGAAACCCCAGGTCCTGAATAAGTACGGATTTTCCATGAAAATAGAAGGTGGGGTTCCAACAACAGTACCAAAAACGTAGAATGCAGCCCCACTGCTTGTGCCACTGATAAGTTTCAGTTCAAGCTACACACAGTTGAGCATTCGGCAAGCAGTACATTATGGTGCCAGGGAAGCAGCAAGCTCGAATTGGGTAAACAGTAATGATTTCAGGTTCTTGCTTTTCAGGAATAGTGGGTGTGTCTTCATCCTCCACATGTTGCTACGTAACCACTAATTCTACTAATTCCAGGTGTACTCATTTATTTTAGGATGTTTATTAACTTCTATCTATATTCTGAAGAACCCCATCCATACTTGGCTGTGCTCTGAGCTTGCTTGCGACCTAGGATGAAGATACGTGTCTACATGAGAACATCTCTAGAAAAACATATATATGTGTGTGGAAAATGCATTCGCACATATGTACATGCTGAGACAGTGTCTTACCTTTATCCCAGCTGGCCAGGAACTTGCTATGTAAGCCAAGGTAGCCTCAAACTTATAGCAATGCTCCTGAATCCTGGTGTTACTGGTCTCTGTCACCATGTCCAGCTAGAAATAGTATTTGTGGTTGTATTTTATAGTTTTGAAACATTGTCTCGTGTATTCCAGGCTGGTTTAAAACTTGCTGAGAGTGCCTGAGAGTGACCTTGAACTTCTGACCCTCCTGCTTGTACCTCCCAAAAGCTGGGATTACAGGAATACTCCATTAGACGCAGTTTTGTGCAGTGCTGGAGATCAGATCCAGAGTCTACCAAATAAGCTATATCCCCAGTTGTTAAATAAAACATTTTTAAAGACTCATTTATACATGTCCCACATTTTGGGAGTGGGGGGGATTCGAGACAGGGTTTCTGTATGTAACAGTCTTAGCTGTCCTGGAACTAACTCTGTACGTCAGGCTGGTATCAAAACATTTCCCATGTTTTTAAAAGATTATTTTATTATTTTAATTTTTAAGTAAGTATTTTTATGTGTCTACATATTTTGCTGAATTTATGGCCATGAACCATGTGCATGCAATGCCTGAGGAGTCCAGAAGAGAATGTCAGATTGCTGGATCTTAAGTTACAGATAGATCTGAACCACCATGTAGGTGCTGGGAATCAAAGCTGGGTCCTCTGCAAGAGCAGCCAGTGTTCTTAACCACTGAGCCATCTCTCCAGCCCTACATGTCCCATATTAAGGGGTAGACAAGTGGGAATTTTAAGACATCTTTCCTTCACCCTTCACCTAACCTCCTAAAAAGCAATCTCTTACCACTGATGACTGAATTCTTTCAACAAACACAAGGGCTTACAATTTGACAATTAAGTTATTTAATTCAATATAACTGATATCTATAAACTACTTAAGTGCCAAGCACTGGATTTTTGGGTTGTTTGGGGGTTTTTTGTTTTTGTTTTGCGGATACAGGGTTTTTCTACGAAGCCCTGTCCATCCTGGAACTGGCTTTGTAGACCAGGCTGGCATCGAACTCAGAGATCTGCCTGCCTCTGACTTCTGAGTGCTGGAATTAAAGGTGTGCGCCACCATGGCCAACCGTGAGTTAACTTTATAAGCAAAATCAAGTGAACAAACTGAATGTGACAAATATAAGCAAGCGTTCAGAGTAGCAGATGGAAGCTGTGTGGCTGCACTGGACGTGGTGCTGCACGCCAAGGAGCCCAGCAACAGCGCAAAGACGGGCACCTCGGGAATTCAAGGCCACCCTCTACTACACAGCGTGTTCGAGACCAGTCTGGGCTATAATGGGACCTTGTTTCAACAAAACAAAACAAAAATTGGAAAACTTCCTAGAGGAGGACACTTCAGAGTTAAACACACAAAAAGGCATAAAGAATGGGAGCTGGAGAGATGGCTCAGCGGTTAAGAGCACTTATTGCTCTTGCTGAGGTCCTGACTTTGATTCCCAACACCTACAAAGTAGCTCATGACTCCAGTTCCAGGAGATCCACTGCCCTCTTCCACCTCATGTGCACCAGGCACACTTGTGGTGCAATACTCGTATACATAAAAAATTCTAATCTTTTTTTTAAAAAAAACTTTTAAGGGCATAACAGAGAAATAGTGGAAATGGGGAAAGGCAATTTCTGGCACAGGAAATAACATATTTAAAGCCATCACAGGAAGAAACTCTACAGTATTTTTAGGCAATTATCACCAATTCAGATTGTGTAATGGAAATGTTTTGAGATGTAGAGCGTCTGGGGATGGGCAGAAGAGAGTGAGCCCTCTATATTAAGCAGAATGTTTCTGACTTTATGATACGTGATAGGGAACCACTGAAGAATCTTAAGAGAAAAGCAGTAAGAAGGGTATGATCCTATTTTTTCAAGAGAGACTATTTTGCAAGTAACGTGGGAAAATGTATTTAAGTTGAATGTAACTAACTATGAAGGAACCGACAAGAAGTGGTGAGGGCTAGAGAGATGGCTCAGTGGTTAAGAGCAAAAAAAAAAAGACTTGGATTCAGTTTCCAGCATCCACATTGGGTAGCTCACAATTTGGGCTAGCTTGAGCTCCAGGAGTTCTGAGGTGCTCTTCCTGTCCGAGGGCACCTGCGTGGTGCACATACAGAGAAGCAGGCACATACATACAAAAAACTAAGGGAAAACATTGTGGGAGAATGAATTAGATGTGGTGATGATACAGTATAGTACTTAATTAAATGTGTGGACCATGATTGAGACTGACTAGGTTTAAATCCCTGCCCCCATCTGTGTAACCTGTGTAAAACTTGTACAAAGTTTTCCTTAACTGTACAATGGAAATAAAACTAAAAGCTACCTTTGCAGCTGTTGTGAGAATTGAATGAAATGAGATCTTCTATGTGCACAAAGTAGTTGTTTGGTAACTATTCATTATTGTTACAATTTGGAGAGGGAGGAGAAGGAGGGACTTGAAAATGGCCCCTGGTTTTCTGACCAGGCACCATCAATCAACGTTGGGATTACAGAAAGAGGAGTACATTGAGGATGAGAGAAATGAGTTCGGTTAAAATAAATCAAAGTTGTTTAGAAGACGTGCAGGTGTTGGTGTCCAGCTGGCAGCTGAAAATCCTTGCCTGGTGCTTGAGGGCATGATGAGTGTTAGAGATAGAGACTTAGGGATCATCAGAATAGAGTGCAGATAGAGACTTGGGGATCATCAGAATAGAGTGTAGAAAGAAATGCGAGGAAAAAAAGGACAGATTTAAAAGTTAGTGAGGTGGTAATATTTGGATGGGGGTGTGAATTCCTGTGATTTTTCTGGGAAACAAATTGGCTATGTGTTGTGGGTTTTTTTTAATTCGCTTTAAGAAAATTTATTCTTAAAAAAGGAGTGGTTCCATGTGCACTTTAGAACAATAGTTTTTTGAAGCAGAGTCTAATGCACCCCAAGCTGACTTTGAACTATTAATCTTCTTGCCTCTACCTCCAAAGTGTTGGGATTTCAGGATGAGCTATTACACCTGGATAAAAACTTCAAAGTAAAAAATCATTAGCTATGCATGGTGGTGTACACCTATACTCTCAATATTCAAAAAGGAAGAGACAATATTCAGAGGCAGAATTACCAAAATTGAGGCCAGCCTGGGCTACTTAGCGAGTACCAGACCAACAAGTACTACATAACCAAACTGTCTCAAACACACCCAAACTAAAAGAGATGGAAGTACATTTTGCTGGTCATGGTGGGTGGTGCCAATTATATAATGGTAGTACCCCTATAATTCTAGCCCTTGAAAGATGGGAGCAGAAGAGTTTGAGCATGGCTGCAAACCCAGCTTAGTTGGTAGAGCGCTTGCCTAACATGCAGGAAACCCTGGGTTCTAGCCCCAGCACAGTACTAAACTATGTGTGCTGCCCCATGCTTGTGATCCCAGAACTGAGGCAAAAGCAAGAAAACCAGAAATTCAAAATCATCCTTGGTCTTAGCCTTAGACATGAGCACTCCCTCCCCCCCCCAAAAAAAATAAAATAAAGCTGGGACTGGAGAGATGTTCAGCAGTTAAAGCTTCTACTGCTCTTGCAGAGAACCTGGCTCAGTCCCCAGCACACATACCAAGAGGCTCATAACCCCCTATAGCTCCAGTTACTTGTGCTCCTAGACTCTCTTCTGGTCTGTGCAAGTTCTCTCTCTCTCTCTCTCTCTCTCTCTCTCTCTCTCTCACACACACACACACACACACAAATATTCACATATGCACACACATACACATAAATGAAATATAAAAATGTTTTTAAATTTTAGCCGGGTGGTGGTGGTGCACGCCTTTAATCCCAGCACTCAGGAGGCAGAGGCAGGCGGATCTTTGTGAGTTTGAGGCCAGCCTGGTCTATAAGAGCTAGTTCCAGGACAGGCTCCAAAGCTACAGAGAAACCCTGTCTCAAAAAACCAAAAAATATATATATTTTTAAATTTTTAAATCGTTCAAAATCAGCCTTGTCTCAAAAAGAAAAAAAAAAAGACAGCCGTGTTTGGTGGTACACACCTTTAATCTCAGCTCTCGAGAGGTAGAGGCAAGAGGATTCCTGTAAATTTGAGGACAACTTGGTCTACATAGAGAGGTCTAGATCA